CTCTGACTGATGCATTTTTTCTAAACCTAACTTTTATTAACATGAAGCACAAAGAGAAAATAATTAAATCTAATCAGCTCACAGTTTGAGCAAGTGCTGTCGTTGAAGGTGTGAGAAAACCTGCTTCAGCAGCTGGTTTTTGCATACCAAATTTTCTTTTGAACCAAAAATTTTCAGAAAAAAATTCAAATATACAAGTTTAACTTTTCACCTTTTACCTATCCGTAGCTTAATGGTGCAATTTGGATTGGTTTAAAATTAATAAAACTGTTGGGAATGTCGAGTTGTGATTATGTACTGTGTTAAAATATTTGCACAATACTAGTAATTACTGTTCTAAACCACAGAAATGTTAAAAATTTATAAAAAAAAATAAAATAAAAAAATCCTGTATCAGCCAGGATGGGATTCTCAGAGTGTAATACTCAAAATTCAATGGTCTCTTGGCAATTGGCCTATATGATTAGAATATTATTTTGGGTGTTTTGCTCTTAGAGTTTAGCAAATTGATGGGAAGTATATTTCTATTAAAATATTCTAAAAAAGTTAAATTCTTCAATTTTTTTAAGCCAGCAGAAAAAGTCAGTCAGCTGACCTGCAGTGTGCAGCAACAGCTACTTTATGCTCCACAGAGACAGAGAAAACTCCAGTCAATGAATTACTTTCCATTTCTTACACTGCAGGACCAGAATGACAGAAGAGCTTTGCGGTTTTTAACGCATAACTTCTTAAAACCTTGGTATTCCTTGATACTGGTAACCAGCCCACCCCTAATTAAAACAAATTGAACTGACTGACTGTGTCTCACTCTCTTAACATATATTTCAAGCTTGCTTTTTTGATTTTCAAGCAAAGTTGTTTGCCTTGTTTGGTAGCTCCTCACCGCAGTTCAAAGAACTGTAGTCTGGGACATTTGATCAGCTTCAAATGTGATCTAAATCCTAAATTCTTGCTTTTGCTGCGGTAATAAGAGAACTAATGAAATTGACGGTTCAAAGAGGGCAGAGATTTTCACTGACTGATTAACAAAGTTAATTACAGCAAGTGAAGTCAAAAATTTTTCCTTTTAAAGTTTAGAGAAATTAAAACTGCTTTGCTCTAAAAGTCACTTCCCAATTTGCTGCTAAGGATGTTGGTGTCGGTTTCAAAAAGTCTTGCATGTCCTCTATTCTCCATAGACCAGATTGTTGGAAACCCGGAATCAGCCCTGATGTTGGTGCGTTGAGGAGGCTGCTTAGAGACCCCAAATGCCGACCAGTACTCCGAGAGATTTTGGAGAGTCTCCTGCATTATCTAATGCACGATGTGCTCAAGAGGAGGAAGGATAATACAAGCATGGAGACGCCAGAGTCGAGCACCGCATCACAAATTCACACAAGAAACACTGTCAAATCTGATCTGCAGAAGGCAAAAAAAACTGTTCCAGAAACCGAAAGCAGTTCCAACGCTTCTGAAAGGTGCAATGTCAATCAAAGTCAATCAAAAGCAGAATTGCCATCTCGGCGCCTTACCACATTCCAGCTTCTCCAATCTAAGTTCTTAAGGTCTTCGCCCAAACCTTTCAGCACCAATCAGAGGGCGGTAGGAATTCTATCTACCAACAGGGGAGTGCAAGGTCAAGATAACCTTATTAAAAGCAGAAATCACAACACAGACTCCAGGAACAAAAGACTAAAAAGACATGGTAGTGTGAAAGAAATTGTTGCCAAATTTGCCCTGGCTGAGCAAAAACAACAGGGATCTAAAACTTTGAAGGAAGAGCCGATCAAACATGGACACATTGGTAGAGGAATCCTCCTAAATTCCTTAATGACGAGATTTGAAAACGTAGCCATTGCATTTAGGAAAAGTGATCTATTTTTATCTCACAAGCAGGCTTGTGGGGGAGACAGGGTTGCATGTCAAGTAAAAGAAAAAGTAGCTGTTATTGAAGGAGGGAAACACCAGGTGACTGATCAAACATTCAACAAGCAGAACCCAGGGGAGAGCCAGCAGTGTTACTCTGTTGTGCAAGAATCAAAAAGTAATAAAATTACAAGTGAACAACAGCAAAAGCCAGGTCTGGAGGCAGACATTTTAACGAAAGCAAATTCACACAAAGATGAGAGTCATCTGAGAGCAACAGAGTCCTTGGATCAAGAGATTTGCTTTTCACTAGACCAAATGAAAGGTGAAGTTCATGATGTTGATATTGAGGATAAAGGCTCAGAACAATTCAGCCAAATCTCAGTCATAGAGGCTGAACTTCTGCAAAGAGTTGAATTTGCAGAGATAGAAGTACTTCCTTTAATTTCTGTGTCTGAATGGTCACTTCCGCAGCCCTGCAAAGTTCTTCCTCAGGAGGAAATCCCAGTAAACTGGCAAAGAGCCACAGTTGTAATCTGCTCCCTTGTCAGGTCCACGTGTATAGATTTCTCTCCTGAACAATCTATGAGGGAAATTAAATCGGAGGTTTATGAAAACTGGGAACAGGACAAGATATCAGAGGAAACCCTAGGAAATCTGTTGGGAAACCTAGAATGTTCTTCCATCAATTTAGAGGGAGGTGAATCCAAAAAAACAGACAGTGTAGACGACTCGAAAACCAAGCCATATTCTTTGGAATATACCAATGCGGAGATCAATCTCCAAAGACCAAAGCATATTCAAGAAACGTTTTCCAGGTCTGTCATTCCATCTATTTTCAGATTCTGCGGTGAAAATAATCAGATTGAGTCAAGCCCACATCCAAAACCTAAAACTCCTCTCTCTGAAAATCAGCTGTCATACGCATCTTTGATTCATCAAGGAAATGATGTGTCACGTTCAACGGAAGATCTTGAAGACAAGGACGGATGTCCTCAAGTCACTAGTCTTCCCGCTGTGACAACCAGGACATCAAAGGGTGGAGCTGAAGCAACACACAAAGAAGCCTTTGAAGAAAGAAATGAAGATGGAAAACTATCAGAAAAAAATCATATTGGAAAGCCAGGAAATTGTAGCCATTTGGAAGAGACTGCCAACAAGGAGGCATTTGCAGACAGCGAGAGAGATAACGCAAAACAGAGGCCAAAGTACAAAACCATCAATTACGCAGATTCTTCAGTGAAACAAACATATAAGCCTAAAATAATACGATTTATGGACACCTTCACTTTTTAGGTTTAATGACCCAAGTCAGAATCTGCTAAAACTAAATAGCTACTGCTAATGTTGGCTAACCTTCTTGTTACATAGAGATCTTTGGGTTGTAAAAGAAGTGTGAAAATGAAATATATACATATATATATATTCAAAGTGAATAAATGTATGTGAAGCCTGAATAACAGTAAACTACCTCAATCTGTGCAGTTATATTTTGTGTAAATGAGTGTTGTCAAGAAGAATTTTATGGTCTGTGGGGTATGTCGTTTTAAATATTGCACATCTTCTTTATGACACAATATTGTCCAGCCTTGATTATTCATGCTTTAAAAATAAAATAGCTAATTCCTGTTGATATCTAAAACCCACAGAGTTACAAGTATCTTTACAAGGCTGTTTACAAAGAAGACAGTTCTTTTCTTTTGACCTCGTCTTGTTACGACTCTCATTCTTTTCCATGTGATGTTACAATATTGCAGCCACCAGACACATCTCAGCTGCGCCTAAACTGGGACAAAGTGAGATTTGTTCAGAGTAGATAAGCGCTCGCACCACAGAGCCAAACATGTCCACAGTTGGAAGTGAAGCTGCTGATACAAACACCTGCAGGCAGGATCACACCACCATATGATCGTCTGAATATCAACGTGTCCCTGCAGTTTTACTAGAGAACAACACAAACTAAGGACATAAAAAATTTGCATTCTCAAAGATGTTTAATTCAAGAAGAAATTGTGAGGGGAAAAGCCTATATAGCTGTGTTAAAATGGAAGGATTTTGAGAGACTTTTCTTCACTTTTAATGTGACGTTTAAATTGTATAGCTCAAATGAAAAACAAACAAATTTGACAAAGGGACAAATATAAAAAGTAATAAAGCTTCAAAACCTTGGTTGCATGGCAAACATACATGTTAAGAAGTCACCTTTTGCATTCAGTTTTCTCTGGTAAGAATCCGTCAACATCCCACTTCCTGCCTTGGCTACAGTGTATACCCACTCAGCCTTCTCCAAATCTTTCTGACTAAAAACATTTGCTGTCCTCAGGCCTCTTTATGTAACCTCACATATTTTCTGTCCCCTTTAACTCTGGACTCTGTCTCATTCCAAACATTTTTTTATGTCTTGTGGTTTCATCTGTTGATGTTAACACAGACTCACTGTGATGCTAATAAATAAATTATTATTATTTTTTACCTTCAGCCTCGGGTCAAAACAGATGAACAGTTATTTCATGCTCCTAGACAGAAAGAAATGCCAAATTTCACTGTGAGTGTGGGGTTCTTTTATTGATGTGCGGTTTCAATAAGTGGTTTGTTCACACACACATTTTGAAATTACTGCCAAAAGTTGAATTTTTCTTATGGAGAGATGTTAGATTTTATTAGTGGCAAAAAATAAAAAATAAATAAATAAATAAATAAATAAATAAATAAATAAACGTTTGCAGGCGAGACATTTTTGCTGCATTTTAGTGCTTTTGGTGATATACGATTAAGTGTCTGTTGAGAAGCGTAGCTTATTGTGATCGCATTGTTTTTAAAAGATAACATTTTGTATTGTTCGAACCAGTAATTTATTTATTTATTTTTCTATCTGATAAACAGATCACAGGCAATAAAATAAACCTAAATTAATAATAATGCGTGTATTTTATTTTAGGAAGTTATTCTAAAAAGTGTTTAACATTTTAGACCTGGTGAAGCGTGTGTTTATATTTTCTTACAAATGCCGAGGACATTAAAAGTAGTGATCTGAACAGCAACAACAAAAACTTTTCACTTCTCCTCAAAAGCCCCGTGAACGCATCCGGAGTCCCTTTTAAACACTCGGGAGTCTCTGAGTTACGACGTTGCCGTGAATCCCGTGAAGGCAGCATTAGATCTGATTTAGTTTGTTTGTCCCTGTTCCAAATCCTCGGTTCAACTGCCCGCGCAGGAGGAGGGAGACTAATTGGATAAACGTCCAGGAACATAACAGTGGGTGGGATCGCTTTGGGGCTGGTTCTGGATCTTTTTTATTTGCTCTACAGAACAAGTTAGGTTAGCTCAACGAGAGCCCGAGGACAAGCGGGAGCAGGTGCTTGTGGATGGCGATAAAAAAAAAAAAAACTGAGGAAAACTCCAGATTCCCGACACGGCTGACTGCGGCTGTATCGATATAATACAAGTTTAGTAATTTACCTGGAAAGGGCTTCGGGGACAGTCCTTACGGATTTTTGGGATTCTAGAGTAAATTAATCTGAAGGGAGCGCGAGCGGCGTCCCGCCCCGTCCCTCCGCGCTCCGACATGGAGAGAGTGAGCCTCCAGCAGCTCCTGCCTCAACTTCACCCTGCGTCCATTCGGTTGTAAAACTTTTGGCGAGGGGGGAAAACACAGCGACGCGCAAATGCTGGAATCCTAGGTCGGGTTTTCGTCGTTTTTACTGGAGCGAAGGCGGGCAGCGGGGGACGCGGACCGAAGAGACGCATTATCCACCATGAACCAGAGTACGGCTAAAGACAGAGTGGACAGGTAAAGCCGGCGGACCTGACGTTAAACACGGTTCAAATGTTATTTTATACACAACGAGACTTCGAGAGTCACTAAACTTTTCAGAAGAAAAGAAAACAAGAGCTGCGAGATTATTCTGGTCCTCTCGTTCTGTATATTGGTGAAAATGTCTGAATGTTGGTAATCTAGTCGTTAGCCATTCACTGGTTACATTAATACGTTTGTAAAAATAACGGTTGTTCCTCTTTCTTCTTCTTCATATTTTTTAAATATCAGTTTTATTCTGAAAGCGTATATTTAAACTGCAGTCTGTTTGCATTGAGGGATTATAGCTTCCAAGCTCTTGTTAAATGTTTTATAGTCATTTTAAGTTAAAGATTTACTCCATTGAGAAGCTACCTCCTCATCCAGCCTGCTATGTTTGTAGGACTCTGTTTGAACTTTATTCAGCACTTGATTAAAATGACATTTCGCTGCTTTCAAAATGTCTGAAGTATGTTGATCTTTATCTGTTCACTTCCAGACAAAGAGTGGTCCGTATCAAGAATTAAAAATAAATTTTAAAAAAAGTGGTTGTGGTAAAAAGGACACAACCATCCCAAAACCAACAAACAATTATTCAGTTATGTTAGACCAGCTCCAGTTGAAAATCTCAAATATTCCAAACATCCTCTATTTTAGTGCTTTTGTTTTACGGCTGTATTGGTGAATGTGAAACCAGGTCTAAAGCCTCAACACTTGCACAAAACAACACAAACTTAGATATTCTAAATTTTACCATTCTCATTGAGCTTTAGCATCTTTTTCAGCATCGTTTTTAGCATTTGGAATGTAACCAATTTAAACTTTCTTTAGGTTTTCTCTAATGGAAATACCTTATGGAAAGCATCTCGTTTGCATCAGAGCAGGAACAATGTAGATTATTCTGATGAAAGAAATGGCTATCACATTTATGCACCTTAAATGCAATGACTTAAAACATTAATAACTGACACCAGTTTATAGGTTTGCTGCCTTTTATATGGACACTAAGTCAAATGTCCTTTGCAAACTATAGCTTTGTTTTGTTAAATGTTCCACTCACAAATCTTAGATACAGTCTTTACATATTTCTAGTTTTATTTTAATTCATTGTTTGGGTCATGTCTTGATTTTATGTCGCACTTCAGTTTGTGGACACGCAGACTCAAAACAAACACATCACATTTATCAGCCGATGGTTTGTTAATGCAGTAGTTCCTCAGGAATGACTTTGCCCTTTGGGAAGGTTAAGCAGTAGGAAGATTAGCATGTTACCTAAGGCATTAGCTGAAGCTACCTACACCCACACTTCATCTTCTAGGAAAGAAAGATATGCCTGCCATGCCTAAATTAGTACAATGTAATCAGTGGTTGTCTACTTATCACAAATATCAATACTAGGATACTGGGACAAGAGTAAAAGGACGACATTGGAACTAGTTCTCTTGATTGTATTGAGACAAGTTGAGTTTGACTACGGTCTAATGGAATTCTGAAAACAATCCCTCCAGTTGCTCTTCAAAATTAGTTTGAAACATTTTTCTTTTTGGCTCAGAATTGATCCGTATGGCTTCGAGCGCTCGGAGGACTTTGACTTTGAATCCTACGAGGAGCTCATGTCCGAGTATCTCATCATCTGCACCCGACGTTCCATCAAGTGGTCCAGATTGCTGAAAGATACCGGCAAGGTGCAAAGGAATGTGAAATGTAAGTGAGAGAACCACGCACACCCATAGAATAAATGAATGCCTGCGCCAAAACTCAAGCCAGATGTAAACGTTCTCCTTGTCGTTCAGTAAAGCGCTACGTACGCAAGGGGATCCCCAATGAGCACCGCGCTTTTATCTGGATGACAGCCAGCGGGGCTCAAGAGCAGCTGGAGAAGAACCCAGGATACTACCAGTCCATGCTGGTGACCCACAATGACTCCAAACTGGTGGAGACCATCAGAACAGGTCAGGCTTTAGCGGCTGCTTCTTCACTCTGAAGTCCTCTCCTTTATAGGGCTTGTGCCGAGAGGTGAACTGCCATCCCAAGCACATTTTTGGCTGCATTCACTCTTCTCTTAATTCAGATCAGTCCCTGCTGTTGAGAAACACACAAACAGACACAGCATAATGTTGCTGCATTTTTTTTTCACTTCAGGAAAGGCTTTAACCAGATGAGCTTTTCCTGGTTTTGTCTCACTTGTGCTCCTTGGATCTCTTTAAATGGCATTGATTTTGCTTGTTTGACCAGAGATATATATATATATATTTCTTAATCATTCTCAAGTTTTTTTTATAAGGATGAAAGAAACTTTATTAAAATACAGTGTTTAAAATGCTATTCTCTGCTTTAAAAGTAATCAATTTCCTGCTTGTGTTTAATTATGTCACTTTTATCCATATTTGCACCCACAAACCTGTAGAAAGCACCATCAGCTTGTTTTGTGTCTTCCAGACTTGAACAGAACGTTTCCAGACAACGTCCTGTTCCGCAAGTCTTCAGATCCGTGTCTGCAAAAATCTCTGTTCAATGTGCTGCTGGCCTATGGTTACCATAACCCATCTGTGGGCTACTGCCAGGTACTGCTCGCCTTCTTAAAACCAAGCTAAAACTGATTTTTTTATACATATATCTTCATTTTAATTCGCAATATTTGCAGTTGAGAAAAATAACACGTCAACATTATTAACTAGATCTGTCGCTACTATTGGTAAAATATATATATATATATATATTCCCATGCTGTTGCATAGGTGTTGTAGAATAACTGAAAACCAATAGAACTAACAATCATGACATGGATTCTGCTGATTTGTTGAAACCGAATCAGAAGAGTCGTGATCAAAAGTCATTCTTTTTCAGAAAAAAAAAAAGAGTGGGTTTATTTTTGGAGATGTTTCACAAATATATGCTTGTTGTAGTTCTGAAAAGTCAAGTATGCTGTCAGAGGTGTTGCTCAAGAAAACTTTAATCGAAAGGTTGTTTAGAAAGTCAAAAATAATTTAACCTGAAACGCTTCAAAATGGGAAGCAGAAAGTGAGAACTGAAAAGTAGGATTCCAACAACTTCAAGAAGAGCCAGAAATAATTGGCCATTCATCAACTTCAGATAAGATGAACAATTACCAGTGAATGCTGTAATAACTGGAAAATAGTAGGAAAACTAAATTAGACAGCATATACTTTTTTTTCTGATTATTTAAAGCCGAAATCTATGTTGGAATGCCTACTATTTCAATCTGGCGTGCTTTTATACTCTTGACCACAATTTCGAATAAAAATAAAAATTTTTTTAGGAACAGCTTTTGTAGCATTTTACGCAAGTGTTCAAAAAGAGGCCGGTGTGTCGACTTAATGCGCCTTTTTGTTTGTTTATTAGAATTTGAAAGGCAAATATCCACCAAAATGCAGCTGGCTTGAAATTCAAACAGGTCTTCAGAGTATAAACAGATTCCATTCATCCCAACTGAAACCGTTGTGGTTTCATTTGGGTTGTTCGTGTGTGCTCTTTTTTTTTTTTTTTTTTTTCCACGTCTTGCATTGTTGTACCTGTAGTTTGGAAACCCCGTCACACCTGGAGGGTTGCTATCATTTTCAGGACATGCAAATAGTTTTTACATATTTTATAGTAAAGGCCAAAGTATCAGATTGGTAAAATATTTTCAGTTTTTAAATAGACTTTTTAATAGTCATTCAAGTCAAAATGCTCTTTTCTATGATGAAATGTATGAATGCCTTATTCAAGTCTTTTTTTATATATATATCTGCAGGGCATGAACTTTATTGCTGGTTATTTACTCATCATCACTAAAGATGAAGAAAAGTCTTTCTGGCTGATGGATGCACTGATTGGGAGAATTTTGCCAGGTTTGTTCGTGAATCGATTTTCTTGTCATTGTTCGTCTCTCTGCTCTGGTCTGGTGATCGGGTCACAAATCCTGATGAGAGTTTTTTTTTTTTTTTACGTGGAAAAAAATAATTACAAAAAAAAATGTACACTGGAAAAAGCTGTGGTACAAAACACAGTACTTCTCCTTTAATATCTATGATTTTTTTTGTATTGTATTTAAAGTCATAGTTAGTAAGGTCGCATTTACCCTGTAATTTTTACACAAAAGCAAACCTTTGTCCACCCAAATCAGGTTTGTATTTATTTCTTACACCTGGCAAAATGCAACAGATGTTTTCAGAGATTGACTTAAATCCTGCATTTGTAAAAATAGACTTTTTTTTCTAACTCAAAGCAATGTGCAAACTGGATACCTCCATTTTAAAGAGGTAAATGACAAACCTGTTCTAAATTTTGGCTCTGCTATGATTTGCATATCCTGTTCCTACAAAAAACATACATCTTCCTGGTTATCCCACAAGTGCTTCTGAGTAGGGTTTTTTATTTTTTTATTTTATTTTGGTCCATGTAACAAAACGTTTTGAGTAAAACTCTCACTGTTTGGTGGTAGACTACTACAGTCCCGCTATGCTGGGGCTGAAGACGGACCAGGAGGTGCTGGGGGAGCTGGTGAAACTAAAAATCCCCCGGGTGTGGGAGGTGATGGTGAAACACAACGTGATGTGGACCCTGGTGGTCTCTCGCTGGTTCATCTGTCTTTACATTGACATTCTTCCTGTGGAGGTGAGCATGTGTATATTTTTTAATACTTTGACATTTAAAAAAAAGGTCAGCACATTTTCTAATTCATTTTTTTTCCCTTTCCAGTATTTTTTTTTTAAATATTGATTGTTATAATACAAACATGTGGTTTGATGGTGTTTAGTAAAAGCAGCAAAATCTTTCCCTCAGGTTTTGTACTTTACATACACGATGTAAAGTGTTGTAAAGTACACAGGTAGATTTTCATCTACCGGTTGGTTTTAGATGAAAATGTGGTTTTGTTTTATTCCTCAGTTCTGATGGTGAAGTTTCTCCTACATTACACAAGTTGTTGTTGCCCTTCTCCCTCTGTTTGAGTTGAAACGATGTTGGCTCCACTGTTTGTTCTCCAAATATGGGAGGAACTTTTACCAGGCAGTAACAGATGGAGACGTTCACACCGTTTTCTCAGAAGTAGATCTGAACACAAACACTGCACATTAGTGCGACTTTTCACATATTCTTCCCTTACAAGGATGTTTTAGGAGAATATAGAACAAGGGAGCATTTGTAGAAACCTTAATTTGAAGGTGACAATATTTTTTATATAAAGAGAATAGATTTTTTTTTTTCTTACAGATTGTTTGTATTTCTAACAGCATTCAGCTTTTGTAGTTAAATTACAGATTTTTGATTTTTACATGAAGCATTACATTTTGGTTGTTTTCCCTCAGACTGTTATGCGGATTTGGGATTGCCTTTTCTATGAAGGTTCAAAAATCCTGTTCCGTGTCGCTCTTACACTGATCCATCACAACCAGGCTCTGATAGAACAGGCCAAATCCCTGCCAGACGTCTGCCAGGCCTTCAAAGACATCGCCCAGGGACCATTTGTTGAAGATTGCCACCCTTTCATGCAGGTAAGAGGACGGTGGGCGGCAGTGCATCCCATCTTTGCTCTGGAAGGGAGTAGTTTCACTAGAGGAGCTCACTCAGAATAGAGGAGCTTTCTGTTTTATTTCTGCTTCTGTAATCCCATAATCCTGGTGTTTCTTGCCTTTCCAAGAAAATCTTCACCGAACCAGGAAGTCTCTCCATGGCAACCCTGACTAAGCTCCGTGCGACATGCCGTGGTCGAGTCGGTGAAGGAGTATCCTGACCTGGACTTCCAAGAACGTCCGCCGATGCATTCCAGAGAGCCGAGCGCCCAGCAGCTCGTTTCCACCCGAGTCGCTTTACACTGAACTTTGTCTTAAAGCATAAATTGAGACAATCAAAGCTGACATGTTGTGCTTTATGACCCGATGATTCCATTTTATGCCATGATGTTTGTCTTAAATTAAGTTTCACATTTTTTGCACTTTCATCCGTGATGACAAAAGCTAAATAGAAAAACCTGAATGAAAACAATGTTGTTCCCTTAAAGCACAGCCAGGAATAAAATGTCCACTGCATTTCACATCTTTGTCAAAAATTTAAATAACACTAATTGTTGTTTTTAGGTGATGAGTTGAATGATGAAATATATTGATTCTATATTTTTGTGGCGTTCGTGTTAAACTAGTTGTTTAAGTGAAACTGTCCATTATCAGAGATGTGGGCTTAGTTTACACACTGTATTTCAATCAAGATGTCCTGGTGATCCAATACAAGCACAACCAAAACAGCTGCTCTGGCTGCGTTTTATAAACCGGGAATGACTCCAACATGGACTCTAAATATTTTTATTACATTACAGGAAAATGCATCATAGAAAATAGAATTTTTCTTTAAAAAAAAAAAGCATTGTTATTTTTTTTGTAAGACAGAAAAAAAAGAAGATGGAAACCAATTCATTTGGTACTTGACCAATGAGTTGTTACAGTAGAATACTGTAGAATTCTACTATAACAACTCAGATTTAAATCTGAGTCACAAAAAAACAAGAAATCAATTCAGAAAACAAGCATTTGCGTCCCCAAAACATTTCACCAAACGGACATTTAAGGTTAGATTTTTCTGGAATCCCATTCTTGAGTTCTTGGGAGGCAAGTTATCAAAGAGAAGAACCCAGAAGGAAAATACAAGTGTAGTTTATTTTAGTAGAAACTGTCATTTTGACCAGAATAAATGTCGAAATGGAGAGGATTGCTTCCTGTGTTTTAATACAATCTTCACTTATAGCCCCTGGTTCTTGCTTTAAATTTGAGAAGGTTCTCAAATTTCTGGATCGTTAAATAAATACACAATTTACATCCAAAGAGGGGAAACATTACATCAGCCTGAGAAATCTGAGAATCTCCTCTTGGCTGTGCTGCATTAGAGATTTCCCTTTTCATCAAGGATCATAAAGGAGAAAAAAAAATCCACAACAAAATCTGGCACAAGATTTTAAGAGATCTTACAGAGTTTGATTCATTTTCCTATCATAGCTAATCACATGGCTACAAAAAAAAAAAGCAATTCAAGCGATGTGTCCACCTGTCAATATAAGCTCAGAGCTGAACAGTTGAGCAGACTTGCTCTTCACCAGCTTCAACGTGATAAACATTGTCTAAAGTCAGCAAGTAGTTCATGTTCCATCACCCGCACAAGAAGTCAAAGGGGAAAAAAATATCCAGAGGACATGCAGAGAACAACTTTCACTCACTCAAACTTTTCCTTCATTTACTCCCATCCTCCCTCCCCGCCCCCATTTTCTGCCAGCTCTCAGTCTGTAAGGTTCAAGTTAAACCAAGCATCCTCTCAGATGGTCTGGTACCCAGCATGGCTCCTCTTCCTGCCTATTAGATACGCGACGAGGATGATCAGCACCAGACCAGCCAGTGCTGCTCCAACGATGATGGGGATCAACATCTGGTCCTGGTCCAACTGGCATTCCTCCGCTGCACAGAGCAGGTTTACAAAATGAATAAAGTGCTTTGGATCTCAATTTCTTCAGTTCTGAAAATGGAAAATAAACCCCAACAATACCTGCTGCAAACTGGCTGTCTGTGACTCCAAACGGCTGCACCTGCAGTCTGAATGTGTTGAGAGAGAAAGCTGGGACCACGAGCAGAGTCTGCTCCGTGTTGCACATGTAGGAGCGTCCCAGTGTGCTCTGGAGATAGTCCAAACTGGAGTTACTGGCTGAGAAAGGCGCTGGGAAGAGAACGCACCAGAAATTAGTCCAAGCAAACGTTAGCATTCAGAGCAAAGACATTCAAAACCAGCGACCTACCAGTCATGTCGGACCAGTTAGCCAACAGATTTATTCCACTCAGATGATACTTGCTAGTTGTTGAGTTCTGCAAATAGAAAAACAATGCTCACCTCTTGTAATATTTGCACGTTAATGGAAATGGAGAGGAAATCCAGAAGTTACCATGGTGAAGGTCAAATGAAGCATGGTGGTTTGTTGTGTTAAAACTAAGCTGGCAGTGGTGCCTCCACATGATCCTGATGTCACCGTCAGATTGGGGTTCACGTTGACTAATTCCTGAACAGTCTGGCAATGGAGAAGACCATTTTTTAAAAAATACTTTGTACCATAGCGCTAAATGATAATGCGCAAGCTTCATGCTGACCTTATTTTGAGACTGAGAGACATAGGAGACATTGAGCTGCAGACCCATTTTGGCAAGGAGACAAACGGAACCGCTGCTGTTGGTCACAGAGAACTCTCCGGTCTCGGGCGTTCCTGGTGGAGTTGGTGCTGGAGCTGCTGTTGTAGTTGGAGTAGGGGGCGCTGTGGTGGTGGTTTGATCTGCCACGCACACACTTTCTGTGACAGGACACAACAGAATGCCTGGTCAGTTTTGATGCAATAATAATAATAATAAATTGTTTAAAAGTGATCTAGTAAGAAGAAATGTACGTAACCTGCTGGGCTGAGGTCATTATCTGGCATGTACGCCTCCAGCCTCATAGCAGAGAAAGTGACGGCAGCTCCTCCCGCTCTGATGGTGGTGGGGCTCGCACAGCGGTAGGTGGTGTTGATCGGAGCCCAGATCCCAACCGAGGAACTCACCACAGTCACTACGCCTATAGAACACAAGCACACAGGCAGTGAATTAGTTGTAAACATAAATATATAAGATAAGATAAACATAAATATATTAAGATATAAATAGTATTCTATTTATATCTTAATGATCCCTATCTTTGTGTGATTGCTACTATGTTAAGAACTTTTGTGAATGTTTTTGCTAGAGTGAGGTCTGAGTTTTGTCAATCTGTCTGTCTCATACCATGCTTTCACAACATGACAGCTTATGTAAATAAAAAAAATACATATTTTTTATAAAAGTTAAATACTGCAGCTTTAAAACTGATAGTAAACTTGAGGCGGGAAAACCTTAAAGCACGTTCTCACCAGAGCCGTTAGACTGAGGGAACAGCGAAGTGTCGCTCAGGTTGTACTGGAGCGTCAGGTTGGTGACGCTATAAAAACTCCCGTTGGTAGCAAAGCTGAGGCCGAGCGTGTGACCCGACCCGAACACCGCCACCAGCCACGGCGGGCGGCCTGCCGCTCCACAGGAGCTACTTGCTGCGTCGACCGAGGTGGAGTCAGGCAGCGAGGTGGAAACGTTACTCTGAGGAGAGAATACAAGCGAGTTCAGAAGGTGATACAGTAAAGTGCTGATTGTATGTAAGCAGAGTATTGAGCACTTACCGTGCTGTTGAAGGTGCTGTATGTGATGAAGAGCAATGCAGACAGCTCGGCTTTGATGCAGGTTGAGTTCCCTTCCTTCACCTCAAGAGTGACTGCCTGAGTGCAACCTGCAAATGAGGACACAATGAAGGAACCGGAAACAGCTACGCAACATTTTATATCAATTCAATTCAATTGAAAGACTCAGACATGTTTACTTAAGTTGTTTTTCATATAAGCACATTACTAGATTTATGTAAACCTGAGTACGGAGTATGAATATAAAGAACTACCACTACTGCTAGGAAATACAAATTCACTCATATTTTTCACAAATTTAAAAAAACAATTACTAGAACTAACTTTTATTAAGCAATCACCAGCTTTATATTATTATTATTATGTTTTACAAAACTGTCTTTTTTTAGTAGAGCTCAGAATAGTTTATTGCAAATATTCCCAGTATGCTACAAGTCATTTATTCTTAGTTACCGGTTCAATAAAAATATTTTTCACAGTTTCTTCACGGTCCTTGCACGTTGCTACAAAGACCTCTGAACATTATATAAACATAATGTTCTACTTATTATTTTTTTACACCACAGAAAATAAAAGGTTAAATTGGCAGGGTCCAATGTGACTCCCTGCTGACACCTATCTACAAAAAGAAGAATGACAGTTGACACAGACTGCCACTAGAGGTCGCAACAAACGGAAAACTTGGGGACAAAGAACAAACTTAATCTCAGATCTCAGATTAAGTTTGTGAAGCACAAATTGTCCTGCTGCTCCAAGTTTTTTTCCAGAGCTATTTATGCAGACTTATACAAACTAAGAATGTAGAAAATTACACGGAAAGCTGTTTATACGTTATTCATTCTGTGAAACCTGCCAAATTACTGTTCCCTGGCTGTAGGTGTGCACAGTCCTGGTTTCAAACATTAACAGTGAACATCCTGAACCTGAATCACCACCGGTTAGCAGACTTGCATATTTACACATCATTTTACAGTATTTTATAACACAGACTTTATTACAGCCGCCCCAAGAACCTATAAAAAAGTGAAATTACAAAATTATTAAAAAACTTGAATTAAAGTACTTAATTCCTTGCATTGCTTTTTTGCTGTTGTTTGTTTATATATATATATATACATATATATATATATTTTCTGCCTGAGTCATGATGCTCTGCAGTTTTATTTATCAATCAGCTTCTCCTGATTTCTGTCAGCTGAAATGATCCAATTGTTGGGAGCAGTCTCAGTTTCAGGCGTCTCCCTACCTCTGCCAGTCCCTCAGGTCACCTCTGTTTAAAGTGTAAACGCGCGGCAGACAGCTTACACAACGCTACAATCCTTGTCATGAGGTCAGCTGCAGTGTGCACAAAGTATAAAGCGGCTGTTTTAATGTCCGACAGGAAGCTATCCCAGACTGCAGGTTGAGCACACCGGAAAATATTGGAGCAGGAATTCATCGATTCAGAAGAAAAACTGCAAACAGTCTTGCAATTAAAAACTGCCAAGTTTATGTCGAAAGAATGAACATCATAAATGAAAATATCCAACACTATTCAGACTATTAATGATCTGCTGTTTTTTTCCCCCGGCATCAGCAGCACTGCGTGCCTGTGTGTTTGTCAGGACCTCACCGGTTCTAAACTAACACCGTCTGTGGGCCCCTGCAGACCTCTGAGCAGCACAAAGCCATTGTGGCAGTCATGTGAAGCTCTCAGATGAAACAACAATGAGGCCGATCTGTCGGTCCACAACATTCACAATGCAAGGGCTTTATATCAGTATCAAATACAAAACAAAAAAAGGCTTTATATCAGTATCAAAACAAAAAAAAACCCACAAAGCATGTTGACTTCCTGAAACTACAGTCAGGATTTTCAAAGACAGCGAAAACCTTGAAAGGTTCTGAAATCAAAGATATTGATCCCTTTTTCGGGCAAAGCTTCCTTCAGTAGCTTTTACCATAAAGATTTCTAGTTTATTTCACCAGTGTTTATTCATTTAAGTACATCTGTACCATGTTTGCATCAATGTTAAATCAATTTATTAGGGAAAAAAATCTAAACTTTTATGAGATTCAATAAATAGTAAATTGAACCTCTCATCTCTACATGAGGTTATCACTTGAAGCACTTTGAATTGATAGCATATCATTTTAAAAATAAACTAACCAATGGACATAGAAATCCATCTACTCAAACTACATATTTGCAAAATTCTTGTAATTTACAGAAATTGCACATGCTGGAGCAGGTTCAATTTACTGAACGACTAAATAAACAGAACAATAAAAATATTGTGCATGGGTCCAGATTATTTTTCTCTGCACATTTAATACGAGAACAAAAACAACATGAAGTGCTAGATTTATTTGCATTTATATTCGATCAGCAGTGGCATCCCTTGTTTGACGTTGTGATATTAATCTCAAAGTACAAACATGTTTATTTAGATTAGTACCAGCCATGCAGGTGATGCAGCAGTTTTTGGTTTTTCCACACCTGATGCTTTCAATGAGCGACGGACATTTTAAACGTGACTCCAGAAGTTTATTTAAAAGGGTTTTTCAGGACGTGGGGGTCCATGTCGGTGGAAGGTCCAAGGGAAATTTTGCAACCTACGTCGGTAGCTAAATGAAGGGGGTCCAGCTTCCTCTGGGTCTGGGGTCTCAACTCCAGAACACCGTCACAACTGTGACGTCGTCCAGGCTAACGGTGATAGCAAAGACACTCACCTAAAATCCCCAGACAGGCGACGAAAAGCGGGGCTAAGCTCCCCGGGACTTTCATCGTAGAAGTGGAGCCCGGGCACAGGTTTCCTCCTTCGTAAAAAAAAAAAAAAAAAAGGTGGAGAATTGCTCCCCCCCTCTCCCTCAAGGAGGTCGTTTCTCCACGGCAGGTGGGTCAGCTGCTGCTGCTGCTGCTGCTGCTTCCTGCACTTGTCTTCGCGGACAGTTAGCTGGAGGCGAAGCGGCGGCTGTTTATCTGCTGGCCGAAGATGGAGAGCGCGGCGTGGGGAGGGAGCGCTGTTCAGGACCTGCAAATCAACTCCTGCGGACGGAGAAGCATCGATAATCGTGGCTAGGTCGATCTTAGTCGCGCAGTGTGATTAAACTGCGTCTGTCACGAGAGCTGGCAGCTTTCAGGGCGACCCAGTCACGTGAGACCACCCCTCTTCCTGCTGCCCCCCCCCTCCCCCAGCTTCTTCTTCTTCTGCTGCTGCTGAGCTCATCGGGGCTCCAAACACAAACAAACAAACAAATAAATAAGAACACAAAAAAGTGCTCTGTTGATGTTGAGAAGTAAAACACAAACCGCAGAAAAGACTAATGACTTGGAATATAGTACAATAGCTGCAACCTTTTGTGAAAAATTATTATAATAATACGTCTTAGTATTATGGTTACGTCATTTGAGCGCGAGATGGCGGGGTTGACGGTGCCTTATGTTTTTTTCCTTCCTGTTTATTAATGCTACACAATCAGAAGAGCGCCATAAGGCAACAGAAGTGGCGGAGGGTCTGCACGGTCTGCGCTTTGCAAGCTGCAGTGTGCTTGACTTGTGGTCAGTCAGCTGACATCCTCATCAGTTCACGAGGCTTTGCTAAAGCCCAAGGGGAACAGAGAGGCAGCTTTCATACTACTCCCCACCACTTAGCAGCTGCCTGGCACATTCTCACTGCGTAGTTGAGTTTGTTTTAACTTTACACAGATTTCCTCGGATTACACTATGATTTTAGGCACCAGACTTTCATTATCACTTCAATGGAACCATAAAAACTGATCTCAAAACACTTTTTAATTTCACTTCAATGAACTTGCTAAGTGAAATTCAGAAGTTTCAGAATTGGTAAAACTAACTTGGGTAATAAATGTTTTTTTTTCTGACTTTGAAAATGTAGTTGTCGCTCAAAGTCAGATGTATAAAAACCTGCCTAAAGATGTTAGGGAAAGAGAGTGAACCTAGACAATTTGCGTCACTGTTACGATGTGCAATACTTCATGAATCAAAACAGATTTTCAGTATTTTCTGTATTAACCAAACAAATTTTACCCAAAGAGGAAGTTTTAAACCACTGGTTCAACAGTGAAAGAAAGTGGCACATGCATGTTAGACTGAAATAAGAAAGCACTCCCATCAGATACAAGGCATTATTTAACTCAATCATTAAATACTCATTTATTCAGATTCACCTTTTGCACTCACAGTCCGACCTACAAAAACATCAGCATCAGCACGTGACATTGAACATTTTGGTCAAACATAAAAGAAACTGAAAAGAGAAATACACAAATGGCTGGCCATTCAGCTTTTGTGTAAAACACAATGAGCCCAACCACATTGGCCAACGTTTTTCCCAAGACTCGGTTTCACACAGGCAGCTGCTTCTCTGACCAGTCAAACAACCAAACCAGTCAAGTTGACACTCAGTAGTTAGCACAACCAATTAAAGGGAGAACACCTCAAGAAAAGAAGAAGAAATGAAAATCCAAAAACTTGTGACAAACAAGCTGCAAAATACAAAGAGTGATTTATAACGTGATGTAAGAAGGAAAACCCAATCGCTCTCTCTCAAAAAAAAAGAAAAAACAAAACAAAGAAAAGTGCTAGTTATTTTGAGTTGAATTTCACACTAGCAGATTTGTTAGTCATAACCAACCATCAACAACCCAATCCACGTATGCAGCCCAGTCTCAGAGTCCCATGAAGGATATTGCAGAATGGGCAACAGCGCAGCCAAGTCTCTTGTCTCTCTGCGTCTCCTGAACACTGCGTCCAGGATTGTGAATGTGAAGGACAAGATGGGCACCAGAGGAGAGTCAGGTGGCTGAGGGACTGTAGTCCTGTGCAGTTGGGCCAGCTGTGTGTTTGCTGTGGGACACAGCACTGCAGCTACAGCGGCGTTCCCTCAGGCGACATAGTGATACTGGTTGGGAATCTCCTTGTCACGCTCCATGTAGTCTCTGTCTATGAGCGACTCGATGCGCTTCTTCAGGTCTCCCGGCTGCGCAGAGGTCAGCAAAAAAAACAACAACAAAAACAACAATGAGATTTGGGTGTAAATGTAGGAAAGAATGAAACTGAAGACAAGTGGTTTAACACATCACCTTGACAGGAAACTTGAGCTGGTTGTAGAGCTCTGACACCAGCAGGTTATGACTCAGGGTTTTCCTCATCTTCATAATGCGCACAACAGCTGCATCGATCTGATACTGCCTGTCCTGAAAGACGCGCTCTGTGGTGCTTACCTGTTCCTCAACCTGTAGGAAATATGACAAGTTAAAAAAACAAAAAAAACAACAACAAACAAACCGATTCCTCTGTTTAGAAAGGGATATATTAGTTGAAAGCTTGTGGTTAGTTAACAGGAAATAAAATGCATATTAAAAAAGAGAGGAAGTATTGAATTCACAAGAGAAATTTACCGTTTCCTTCATTTGAATCTGGTTGATCTTGATGCGGAACAGTTTGTGTTTAAAGTCATAGTTAAAATTGAAGCGATCTCCATCTTCCACGTCTTTCCCCCGAGGGTTCTTGTTGAGGACGCGGGCTTTCCCACAGGCCAGGGACTGCAGGGTTCGCCTGAGCTCTCCCTCCTCTGTGCAACACGACAAACAACAACAGTTAAAGCCACACACGGCTCTCTCACATCACTATGGTTGCTGCATATTTTAAGACATGTGTAACCTATTCCGGTAGCAGCACGGATCTCCTCCATGCTGAATTCCTCCCCTTCGTTGAACATGAGCAGCACCAGCGTTTGGAACAGGGAAACCTGCAGCTCCTTCTTGCCCTGTAGGACAAAATGGTTTCTGTAAAAGTAGGCTGAGTGATTGTAAATCTCAGAGCTCCGGTGAGATGCATCAAGCTCTCACCTCTTTAAATTCTGCCTTCAGTACAGCATGGCCCAGTGTGGGCTGCCACTGCAGTTTCCTTCCACTGTGCTTCCCAAGGTAGAACAGCTTGAACACTTCCTGGAGTTTCACCATCTACCAAGAAGTTACAGCAGCAGCATGTGATTGGCTGGCCATGTTAAAGCCATGCACTCTCGTCATTCTCACTACCTCTGATGGAAGGTGAACCTCCATAGGTGTGTATGAAGGCCAGTAGCCCATGGTGAGGATGTTTACAGTGAGTTCTATGTTGCTTGGCTCACTCTGGTTCTGCATATACTGAATTGCAAAAGTTAAACACATAAATATGTCATTAGCACTGCAGTGCTTTTGAGTCCATGTGCTGGGAATATTTCTGGTACCTGTTTGAACTGGATCATGATGTCTTTAGACAGCTCCATGTCCTTAAACATCCCCTCAAGCTTACTGGTGAAGGCTGCGCCACATTCTGCAAACGCACAAACATCACAGCTGACATGTCCCCATGCTCTACCAACACACACACAGACTACTTTGGGATTTAGCAACTCAATTTATTAATTTGGCTTAATAAAACTGATGGTTACAGTGATACAGTATGTATTATTTTACAATTAAAACCCAACTTTTCTGTTAGATTCTATACACAGTGCCTTAGGAAAATATTCATACGCTTAGTTTTTTTTGCACAACTTGAATGACTTTAACATTATATTTTTTGCAAACTGAAGAGAATTTGTATTTCAATTAAATTCAGAAATGTCGTCTTGAGTTATTTTACAAAAAAAAAAATTCAACAAGTTTGATCACTTGAATCAGTTGATTCAAGTTATTAAAGAAAGTAAGCTCAGTTAATTATTCAAATAGTTTAAAAAGTTTCCATCTAAGGAAACCCAGCAGATTGCAGAATATTTAATTATTTTAACAACTGCAAATTTTTGGGGCTATGCTTTTACTGGTTTTGCAAATATAGACACTAATATTCTTACCCTTCTTTGCAAAAACACTTCAATCTGACTATTTAGAGAACATCTTTGAACATCAGTTTGTAAGTCCTTCCACAAATTCTGGACTCTGGATGGTACAAAGTAAGACACGAATAGTTTTTGATTTAAACTACAACATTGTAGCTCTGAGGAACTTCGTGGTTGCCCAGCCTGTCAGTTTTGGTCAACAGACTTTCTATTTGTAAAACATAGATTTTGTAAAAACAAGAAACTCACCATGTTTCAGTTTGGACAGCATGGACTTTTCAGCATCAACAGAGGCACTCTTCCCAACCAGCAGACGCTTAGCCAAATCTTTCTTGTAAAAAGCTTCAAACACGTCTTTTCCTGCATGGACGAAAGCAGTCATTGTTACTTTAGAACAGGTCTGACAATCCCAACGAAGCATGATGAAAAGGTTCATTCCTCATCCGTGTAGAGGTGTAACAGACCGTGAATGAAGCGGAAGATTATCATGATCTTGTCCAGGATTCTCTCCAGTTCCTCCTCTGTCGCCTCCTTGTTTCCAGCTCTTAACTTGGAGTCCACGTATTTAGCTAAACAAGAAGCAGTAGCCAGAAAACATGTAATCATAGGCTGGAACTAATGCAGGATCAAAACTAAATGGAAGTTAATGGGGCTAAACATGATGGTAAACGACTGTTACTCGCTTGACCTACCAATGAGTTCAGCAGGCTTGTTGGGCCTCTTGTTGATGAAGGTTTCAAAGGCCTCCTTCATGGCGTTGATGAACGCCTCGTTGCGTGCAAAGCAGCTCTGCACAACATTGTCCATCTTGTCCTTGAAGTCCAAAAGATCTTGAACCATGTCCTTGTCCTTCTCTGGTGTGCAAACAATCTCCCCACCGAATGACTGCAACCAGAAGGTTTATTCAGGCTTTTCTGACATGTAACAGGACTAAAACATACATCTCTAACAGGTCATATATGTGTTTAGCATGTTTACCTTGATATAGTCCCTCCAAAACTGCAGCAGCGTGGGCAGTCCTGCTTTTACCTTACTGAAGAGCTGGTAGAGGAGGGCCAGCTCAGTAACACGGTTCTCATCTAGGAGATTGCTCAGACCTAACATAAAATGAACATCCAGACTCATGTTAAAGTCACAGTTTAAACTATTATATCTACTAAAACAAACGCGGTTCACTTCCAGAGTCTCAAATATTGCTACATGCATTACATTGATATTTCACATGAGCATTATACTTTGGAAAAACTTTATTTTTTCACTAATAGGAGAAAAAAACAGTAACATTATATGGGACATGTAATCCTTTTTCTATGGACATCCAGCTGTGTCTTGTGTAGAAGGGGAAATCTGGTATTTTTACCACACAACTATACCACAGCTCCAAAGAAAGTGATTATATTAATTATGAGAAATGTAAATAAATTAAAACAGACACACCTTTTTGTAGAACTGCATTCATATGCTCTCCTAAAAGTTGTTTCTCGACACAGCAGATGAGAGGCTTCCTGTGAAATGACGAAAAGTAAAAAATACGAATGAAAAATTTGACAAAAACTGAGAATTTGAATATGAAAACTACAATATATAAATGTATAATATGCTAGCTATTTGGTTTAGAAGAATACCTACATGTAATCTTCTTCTTTCAAAGCACTCTCCCAATTTAAAGAGCACATACAGTTCTATGCAAGTTCAAAATGTTTAATAAAAGAAGCTTATGGGGTTTAATATTATATGTTTTAATTAAGTTATAACAATTCAACATCAACTCTTGCTCCCTTTCATTTTGTAATGCTATGCTTTTCCTCTGATATTTTCACTCAAAAATGAACTTCTGTTAATACCTGAGGCTTTTACACCTGTTAACAGCCAGAAGCGAGGAAACTTGTAGACATTTTTTTTCTACCTCTTGGTTGAAAGTAGATCATTTCTTAGCCTAATGTGGAGACATGAGTGGTCGCAGCTCTACCAGAACTCACTCAATCTACAACTCGATCTGTAATAGAAGAAATGTTTTCCCTGCTCCTCTAATCAGATTTACACGACTGTATCATTTTGTGCATGGGTTCAGCCTATTTAAGAAAGGGTCTCTTAAATAAACTGAAACAAACTTTGGGAATTCTATTATTCGTTTTCACTTTTCAGTGAAAACGTTTCACTCTTGTTGATGAAGGTTTCAACAAGAGGTCATCGAGAGATGATTCAACAACAACATTCTGAATCTTACTGAGTGCTCTGGTCGAGGTAGCTCACAATTCGATCATTCTCCTCTTCTAAACGGCGAGCAACATGGTGCAGGTATTCAGGCACCTAAACACAAAAACAGTATAGTCTAAGACACCGATGATGGACTTGACCTCATAACCCCAGGATCTATTAGGAGTTTCCCTCACGTCTCTCTCCTGCATCAGCCGCTGTCCTTCAGCTGCATAGAGACGATTTGTTTCTGTCAAAAATCTCTCCTCGAAGGAGTCTTTGTAAACCTTTGAAGAAAAGAGAAGTAAAACGCAGTCTTTATGTGAAGCAAAATGACCCCCGCAGCCTGGTGCCTGTTACTACCAGATAGATACCTGCAGGTCTGACAGCATGCCCAGCAGGCTCCGCAGCAGACTGCGATCGACAGTCTCTCCATTTCGCTCCAGTTCTATCTGCTCCAAAATGCCTTCCACCGTTCGCTTCTGAACTGCACTGTCGCTCACAATGTGTGTGCGGAACAGCTCCAGCCCAGTATCCCTGCGGCGTACAAACCAGCATCAGCTTCCTGAACGCATCACTGGAAGCACAACCGAGCCGACGGAACCTCACCAGATGGAGGGCAGCAGAGAGTTCTGAAGCACATACGTTCGATCCAGGAAGAGAAAGATGCTTCGGATCATTATCTGGAAAGAGGGGAATCGTTAGCTCGTCACAGAGTAAGTGAACACTCTTGAAAGTTATAGGGCTGAAGCTCATCTCTTACAGTTTGCCTGCAGTGGTCCTGCCAGCAGCGATTCATTCGCTTCAGGAAGGAAAGGTTATCCATCGACTCTGTGAGCTCCAGGTTAAAGGGAAAACCACAAACAAGCACCATCACAACAACAACTTCTAATTTTACTGGGTAAAATGTCACAAAGCTTTTAGCTCTTAACTCCAAAATTATTGAAAACAAAACATTGACTGTTAAAGAAACAAATTCATCAACACAGTCGCCGTCTCACTGCCGTTGAGCTTCGTAAAGGTTTCTCCTGGTTTGGCTGAATAGGTTGTGGACAAATGAAAGGATATTCTCTGAACTGATGAATCTGTGCCCGCACATGATCCTCGCAAACCTGCCGCAGCTGCTTGTACAGCGTGGGGGAGACTTTGTACGAACACAAGTTCTCCACGGCCTTTCAGGCGTTTCAGCGAATCATTTGATAGGAGTCCCAGGAAAAAGACAAGACAAGAAACACATGAGAAAGTGAAGTCTTCGGACACGACTCCAGCCTTCTCCAAAGGAGATGTACTTAAGCAACTTGAATATTTATGCAAAACTGATTTCCAGAGTCAGAACTCGGAAATCCGGCTCTGGATTTGAGCTTTCAGATTTGAGCTTGACGTTTAACTGCACCGACCTGATAGAGCTCTTCCAGGTTGTACTTGATGGAGGTGCTGTTTTGGATGGCACCCACTGCATCTCGAAGCTTCAGCCACGTGTCTTCTGTGTAGTTCTCTGCTAGTTTTGGCCTATCTGTTGAAACACAACAATAAACAGGATCAAACAAGTTGCTGATATGATTCACAAAAACAGGGGGAAAACAAAGTTTTCGCTACCAGTCAAAGGTGAGGTGACAACTGTTCGTTCATTTAATGCTCCCAAACATTTAACTGCACTTTTTAAAAACATCAACTTAGACGTTTTAGTTCACCAATATATATTATTAATCTTCTATGCTTTCCACAGAAATCTCCAACCTTTATAATGTGTTTATTAAAGACCCACAGCGATTTTTATTGCTTTCTGATTTCAAAAGAACAAAAGTTTCCTACTTGTTGAGACTTTTTTCTGACAAACTGCAGGTAGAGTATTTTCTACAGCCGAAACTTTGGACCCACAAAACATTTACTGATAATAAAAACAAAACCAACATGGGGGAAATTCCAAAAAGTGTTTTTGGTTCAAATTGTTTTTCTGCTTTTTTTTTTTTGAGAACTTTTTGTTTTTGCTATTTTAACAATTCTTATATTTTTTATCTACTTTTTGCAAAATCTGCATACATTTATCTGACATTTGCAAAATACATATTTACAGATTTAAAGTTTGACGAGAAATTGAATTCTTTAAACACATGGATATATTCTGCTGCTGAAACATTAAAAAACATTAGCAGGTCTGAGTTTCTCACAGTAACCCAGAGTAAAAAAAATTATGGTACAACTTGTTGTTTTTTAATAATATTAGAACTGTATGTAAATTCTGTAAAAAATGTTTTTTCTTCTTTTAGCTGGCTGAAAGGCAGTGTGCAGGAACAAGTGGGGGAGGGGCAGTATTGGACTAGTCTATTCCTACAGCAGCCAGAAAAAATCTCTGATTACTCTGGCACTTTCCCCGTCTTCTCAGTGAAAGGATTTTAAATAGGACTGAAAATATAAAATGTTTTAAAACCTTGTTACCTTGGTACTGACAATTGGCCTATTTGAATTTAATATTGTTGTATAAACCATGTGAAGGGCTTAAAGTCACAACTACATTATTGCTTTATTGGAGTAAACGTTTACCCAGGGAAGTGGCCTACATAGTTAAAGCACCATAAGTTGTGAAGCTGTGATCTCTCTCAGCTGAGATCCATAGATAGACAAATGCACTTTTTAGTGAGCCTGCTTTACCAAGACACGGGGGATTCTGCATGAGAAGTGGGAATTTCAGGAGGAAATAACACAACTAATCACTTCAACATATGAAGACAAAATAAAACTACTGCATTATTTGAAAGCGTGAGGAAGTTGGTTGGTTTTAAAATAGCAGGCTTTAAGGAGCAAATTGTTATTTTCAAGTAAAACAACAAAGAAAATCACTTTCACACACAATCTTCTGCAGCCTGACTTGAGACCTCCATCCTTCCCTCTTGCTGATGCAGTGGGGGTAAAAAGCACCACATTGACAGTACCTTTGAAGTTTTTGATCACTAATTTCCTTGAGGCGCCTGTTTTGCCTGAAGTCCTGGCCATCCCGTTGGTGCTGTGCTCGGTCAGAGCCGAGAAGCTGGCCCTCTTGTCCTGTCGGGTGTCCTCTGCCATTATCAGATTAGCGCTTTGGCTTACCGCTGTGTGCTTCAAAGTGTTTTTGCTATGTTTCTGCTGGATTGTCCTGTTGCCTGTTTTGTTCGCTTCCAGCAATGCGGTCCCTCTTCGTTGAACTAGATTGTCTCTGGATGGCACCGCAGGAAGTCTATTTAAAGTACATGATGTTGCAAAAACTTGAAAAACACAACGCTAGGTGAGCATAAGAAAAATAAACTAGAGACAGCGAAGTAAACACATAGCTAGCTAACGGAGTGTTATCTAAAACTGTAGCACACTTTTCGTCCCATTCGCCACTTTTCTTTTTAGCTTTGTAGGCTAGTCCATGTCAATGCAGACTACATAAGAATTTTAACTAGCTCAGTTAATGTGTTGGGCAAAAGAAAAGAGGAGCTCCAACGCGACTTAGTTAGCGTTGACATGTTCGATTCATGTTGTTGGTAGCTGTCTTTACCATTTAGCTAGCTAGCATAACAAAATGGCTTTTCTCAGACGGGCTCCCTTGGACAGGTGCGTTCAAGAGTGGCTCGGATTTTCACCTTTTATAAGGCTTGTCTGTACTTTGACAGTAGATTCGAAACTTTTTATTCCACTTACCATACACATATGTATTAACATGTTAAGTCTCTCAAGAACTAAAGTGAAATAACAAGCACTTCAGTTCTTATTGTTGTTACATGACACTAAAAAAACAGTACCCAACTGAGATTGTGTGATATCTGTATTTTTTTTTCAGTTGTGTTTATTATAACTTTAAAAGTACTCATAAACTTTATGCATTATATTTACAGTGGTAAGGAAGTATAAATATGGCGTACTTATAATTACTTGCTTCATTGATACTGCAAGTAAAGCTTTATATATAAAAAAACTTGTTAGATTTGATCAAGTCTGATCAAATGTTAACTGTCTCCATGTGTTTTTTGTTCGTTTGTTTGGGGTTTTTTGTGTGTGCTTTCTTTCGCTTTTTAAATAATCTTTGCAGATTTCCACCCCTCCCGGATGGTCTTGAACGCACCTGCGTTCCACCTGCAGTCAGCGGAGGTTCATATGTGAGGCTGTTTTACTTTGGATCGGACCCGAACAGTAAAAACGGACATTTTCCTCAGTGTGGTTCGGTGCCTTCTTGGAAACCATGGCTAGAATGATGTGTATTTTTACAAACGTCCCATGACGGCTGCCTCCAGAGCAATAGGGCTCGCCTTTTGGTGCTGATTCGGCCTCTCTGCAGCGGTAGGTACCGTGGCTGCTAACGCCGACAACTCCACCACAAACTCGGCAGGGAGTTGGTCCGCCGAGCATCAGATCAAGAGATGAGTGATTGACTGGATTCCTGGATTTTTTGTTTGTTTGTTTCAAGCAGACACGCATATGAAACAGCAAACCAGCTTAGCTGTTTTGAACTCACACTGAATATCTTCCATTTCAGTCACATAATTGGAAATCCAAGAACTATATATATATAAAAAAATTCTGTTAGCTTTAGCCTGGCTAGAACGGTGTAAGCTAATGGTAGCTTCCCCAGTGAGATTCCCACGGGTTTTTTAAGAAAGCGAGAACCCATTTCAATGTTCACTGAATGATGTCGGCATGTAAACAGGCTGCCCTGTTTCCCGACAGTCGGTTTTACCTCGGAGGGAACTTTTCCTGCCGTTTTTTGGGGCGCTTGGCTTGGGAAGCTAACAGGCAGCTAAAGCCAAACCCTAAAGCATGAAAGGGAAAGTCTCCATTTCCTTCCCTCTTTTCTTCTCTCCAATATTTGTATACGTGCTTAAGAATCCGTACATGTATATTTCATTTAAATGTCTATATATTAATGATTTAACGGCCCAGGAAGTACAGAGTCACGTGCTTCATGCACGGCTGTGTTGAAATCTGCAGTCATCGCCATGTGATGCCATTTGAAACAGTTGGTATGGAAAAGCGTTTCAGGAAGTATTGATCACTAGCATTGACTTCTGGAACGACTTTAAAACAACCATTAACTCGACTTTATTTTAATTGTGATCAGATTGCATTAAATAATCTCAATAAACGCAACTTGACCCTCAGGGAGTATTTTGTTGTTCTCCTGGGAAAAATAAAAATATTCTAAAAGTAAAGACAGCCAAAATGCAAACAGAAATATGTCCCCCTGTAAAGGCTATAACTAGGGGTGGGGAATTGTTGTTTATCGGTATTGTAAAATTCTTCTAATCGTCATGAGATTTTGAGTTGTTGTGAGAGTGATCATCTTGACTTGATGATGTTTGCAGAACTCCTCTTCGCCCCACAGCCCATCCCAAAAAATATGTCCAAGCTTTGGTCTACACGAACTGCAACAAACGGCACTGTCTTTCAAAATAGGATTAGATTTGCTTGTTGTTTGCCGTTTAGCAATAGAACTGCATTACCTATGTACTAATGGGTCCTAACATTGTCTATAAATATATTTTTTCCTAAGTGCAGTCCTTAGGTGTTTGTGGGCTTTGGCTGCAGGAAGGTGCAGTCCCGCCATGAAGTCTGTTGCTAAAAAAGACTGCAGTGGTTTCTTTTTATGACTTCCTATCATCATTTTTTTTTATCAGCAAACTAAATACCACAAGATATTAGGATGAACTCCATATTGATTCAAAAGTCTATGAAGCCCATTTGTATCTGTAATGGATGATTATTATTATTATGTGATCTCAACAAGATTAGTAAGATTGTCTCCATTTATACCTCAAAACATATGCTTTGAGGTATTAATGCAAAAAGCACATCAAAAGATGTGCTTTTTGCACTGTCTCTTGATTTAGACAGTGGGAACATTTTGCAAATCTTTTGAGTGTTTCATCTACCTGATCATCATTCAGAGTTGATTTGTTTTTTGTTTATTTTTTATTGCCATTAGGCTAAATCCTAATACCAGTAAGTGAAAGTATTTTTATTATAAATCCTGTGTCATGTTTAATAAAGTGTATTCAATTGTAGAGAGTTTAAATTAATCAGTTAAGGGCGTACTTAATTTTTTTTTTTATGGAGCTGAGTGGATTGTGATGCTTCCACAAAATAAAAAAAAACAAATAAAGGTCTAAACTGACCTTTTGTACATTTCCAGGGTTGAATGTATTTCTTGGAGCAATTATACTGTGAAAGACTCACCCCTCTTCTTATCGCTGGGTTAATGTTAAAAGGGTGTGTCTGACAGTAACATTTATTCTCATTAAATTAACCACTCTCTCCATCCGTCTTTGTGCAGTTTTGCTGACGCTTGTCTTCTGCTGTTTAGTCTAGATGCCTTGGCTGAGATGAGTGTGAAGGCTTTTGAGCTTGTTCCCGCCGTGGAGCGCGACCTCCTCATGGGCGACAAGGCTCGCATCAACATCGAGTGCATCGAATGCTGCGGGAAGCACTTGTACGTGGGCACCAACGACTGCTTCATCCACCACTTTCTCCTGGACGAGGTCACTTCCCCCAAAGGCAAGCTGAGCTACTCGACCCAGAAGCTGCTTCACAAATACCTCGGCCTCAAGAAACCTGTCGCCGAGCTGCGTGCCGCTTCCGCTCTGGAGCGTCTCATAGTGCTTTGCGATGGAATAGTGTTCCTTGTTGACATGGTGACTCTGGAGTCGGTTCCCTCAGCAGCTGGCGGCGGGGTCAAAATCCGAGGCGTGACCGCGTTCTGCGTCAACGAGAACCCCGTCAACGGGGACCCGTTCTGCGTGGAGATGGGCGTGCTGTCGTCCAAGAGGCGGACAGTTCAGGTTTACATGGTCTACGAGGACAGAGTGCAGTTGGTCAAAGAGGTGAATACTCCGGAGCAGCCATGCGCCGTCAGTATCGATGGGTACTTCCTGTGCTTGGCCCTCACAACGCAGTACATGATCCTTAACTACAACACAGGAGCGTCGCAGGACCTCTTCCCTTACAACAGCGAGGAGAGGAGACCCATTGTGAAGAGGATCAGCCGGGAGGAGTTCCTCCTCGCCGCTCCTGGCGGCCTCGGTGAGTTTATCATCGGCGGCTCAAAAAGTTGGGAGTTCTGCCGAGAACAAAAGCTGCTCATATCCACCGACAAGAATCGGCTTTGCACCTTGTAGTGAAGCTAATTTTTCTCTTGTTTTAGGTTGTAGAACTAGTTTGCTTACATGCTCTAAGCTACAGTATTTGTTATGTAGTCAGTGATGAGTCCAGCTTTCCCAGTTGTAGTTCTTTATAAAGTTTGAAAGGTTTTAACTACCTTTTTGTGCTCAGTAAAAAACGTAATTTTCCCCTCTCTTCATCCAGGGATGTTTGCCAACTCAGAGGGAGCGTCTCAGCGGGCTCCCGTTAACTGGTCAGAGAGCGTGATTGCTGCCGCTGTGTGTTTTCCGTATGTGGTGGCTTTGGACGAAAACTTCATCACCATCCACAGCATGTTGGACCAACAGCTGAAACAAACTCTTTCGTTCAGGAATGGACGCGTTCTGCAAGATTTTGAAGGTGTGCTCGCATCCTCTGGATTTCACATGTGATAAAAAACATTTCTGTGGTTAAAATATGGAGATGATCATTTTTTACAGCCACGCAAATTATTGCTATAGTGTTTCTGTTTAGTTTGTAAGTTTCAAAGCTTCAGAAAGTCTAAAAGCTGCAATCCCACAGGTTGAAAACCTTTGCAAGGCTCTATAAAAAAATCCTAATATAAATTCTTCTTGTTTTCCAAATGTTGATTAGATATAATAACAAAGTGATCTCATTTTAGAGCTGGACACTTTTTAAAGGCTGATTTGAATAACAGTGGATTAAAGGGAGGATGAGTCGACTGGTTCTTTGTAAAACAGATACATGCGCAGTCACAATCTGAGTGTGTGAGCGTTGTGTGTGTTTTAGGTAAAGTCATGCTGGCTTCCACGAAGTCTGTTTACGTCCTGGTTCCTCTGCCACTGGAGAGACAGATTCAAGACTTACTGGCCAGCCACAGAGTGGAGGAAGCACTGGTCTTAACCGAGGGAGCTCAGAGAAATATTCCCAAAGACAAGTTCCAGGTAAATATCAGCAGGTCATTTTAATAGAAAGGCAAAATACAAGGCCTAAAAGAACTATTGATGCCAGGCTGATGGAATCTGAATGTCTTAGGGTACAAATATGCCCAAAGAGAAACAGAAACTTTTAATCAATTTATGGTACTATGATTATAGGACACACACCAAATCCTGTTAGCACAGAAGGTAAAAACAACTTTCTGTTTGTCTGGATTTAATGAAGCAAAATGTAAATAAACAAGCATTTCAAACGTTTGTTTCTATGTACACCAGCGTTGTGGACTTGAGTCATGAGACTTTGAAGCAGAGTCAGACTCGAGTCAAAATGTGGACCTTTCTTTGTCTCTTTTTTTTGTTGTTGTTTTATATGTCACAAATGTTATGTCTTCAGAAATTTGAATGTACAGTAGTGAGACTTGTTTTGGGTAAATTAGACTTTTAGTCCCGTGCTGGTCTAAAAGTATAGTTGAGGGATTTAGGACATTTTTCAGTTTCCATACACACTTGGGAAAAGATTTAGTGGAAATGTAGAATCTAATTTACTTTCACAAATGAAAAGACAATCAAAAGAAACATATTTCTGGAAGTGACATCTGGGCTAAGATATTTTAAATCATCGCTTTGTTATAAAATTACATATTTGGTCAATTACCTTGCTCTGGTTTGAAAAACTTCATGTTGTATTTGGCGTACTTTGTTATTTCTGTAGTTACATTTTTCTTTCCATTGTTGCCACTTTCTTCAGGTTTTGCACAGAAGAATCCTTCAGCAGGCAGGGTTCATAAAGTTTGGCCAGCTTCAGTTCCTGGAGGCTAAAGAACACTTTAGGTAACAGCTGGAGTTGCTTTTTCTTGACATCTCGGCCCTTTTCGAAACCCTTCACAAGAACCATCTGATTCTTGTGAATTTTTCTTCTCTTTTGCATCTCATTCAATTTAATCATTGCTTTAAAGGTTTATGTAACATATCTCGTTTCCTTAGGGTACCATGTTACTCCTGTCATTGCTGACGATTTTTTTTTATATTTCAAAAACTTACAGATTTTAATAATGACCATATTCAATAATTTGACAAAAGTTGTGATGTTTAGTTTCTTATATTGTTTTCTACATCTTTGTCTTTTTACTGACGAATTTGATAAATGTGCCGGTCTTGCATGAGAAATATCAGTCTTTTTTTTTTTTTCTTTTGATATGTCATATGAAATGTCTTGAATTTTTCCAGGAAGGGTGAGCTGGATGTGCGGGAGCTCATCTCTCTCTACCCTTTGCTGCTACCAGCTTCCTCCTCGTTCATGCGCTGCCACCCTCCTCTTCACGAGTTTGCAGATCTCAACCATCTGGCACAAGGAGACCAGGAGAAAGTGCTGCGATGCAAGAAATTCCTCATCAGCTATTTAGGAGAGGTAACCGGGTTAAAACAGCCTGGTAAGCCAGCAGCGTGTTGTGTGGCTTCAATTTGCGCTTTTCCTCCTCCCGCTCAGGTTCGCAACACAGACGTGGTGAACGGCTGCAGAGACGACGTGGACACAGCTCTGCTGAAGCTCTACGCCGAGCAGGATCACGACAGCCTGCTGGACCTGCTGGCCTCGGACAATTCCTGCGTGCTCACAGATAGCGTTCCGTGGCTGGAGAAGTATCATAAGTGTGTATGCTGCTATGATTATTCATCTGGTTTAAAGCAGGGCTGATTACTCGCAATGAGTCGATTGTTGGAGTGATCGTCAACTAATTAAGTAATCGATTAGTCGATAGCTAGAGTGTACAGACTCAAAAAAGGCTGAAAGATCAACACAGTCCAATCAGTAATTAAGCCAAAACTGTATACAAATATATACATTTTGCATTTAAGATCAAATAAAAAAACAGTAAATATGTTCTATTCAGAAATCCTATAGGGACATAGTTTTAGCTTTAACCGGTTAATCTAAATTTGAATCATCAGATTAGCCTGTCATTGTATTGAAGCTAAGTCAAACAAAGGGCTGAGCTTTTCCCGTGTTGATGTTTGAAATATTTTTTTAGCTGCATCTTTTACTGCAGATGATCAGGAGCACACTAAATAAATGTGTACTACTTTCTTCTTTTAAGAAATGAACAGAATTATTTGTTTTATCTCTTAATGCATTTCTAATATTGCACAAAATGAGACATACGGGTTTTAAATGAAACATCTGCAGAATGTGTCTATTTTTTAGATCAAATTAATCCATAGAATAATCAATTACTAAAATAACAATTAGTTGCAGCCTGAGTTAAATGATATAATTTGGTTGGCATGGTGTCGGGGACTGGAAAAAGAAAATGAAGCACAGAAAAAACAGCAGCATTCTCCTGCTGTACTGCATCCGACTGGATGGAAACACACAACCCTCACACACTCAAAGTGTGCATTAAACATAAACATTTGTTGTAAACTCTGTTGTCTTTTGTATTTAGGCTTTAAGAAATGGGTTTAAACTGGACTGAGAATTTGTGATGGTGATTTTTGTCATAAGTGTGTGTTGGAACCCTGCCAAATAAAAAATGTAGATTCCTTATTAAAATGTCCATTTACTCACAGCAGATTAAGACACAAATATTATGCTGTGATTTCTTTATCGGCTCTATAAGAAGCAAGAACTTTCAATTATTAATCTCAGCGATTCTGTTTTAAACTCTGAGCAAATTGGCATGTCGAGTTAGAATAGAGGATTACTGTGGGAATCGGTATGATTTTCATTAATTATTCCAGTGATGAAATTGACCAATTCCTTCAGGATTGTCTGAGGCGAGCCTTTGTTGGGTAAATACTGCTCATTGTCCCGTGCCGTTAATTAACTTCCTGATGAAGCTGTTAAATCCGTGTCCGGTTCAGCCAAGCCAGTTTAATTACTCGGCACAGAAATGTAATTATGTTTTTGAAGCTCGACTCAATCCGCTCTTGTATTTCTCTCAGATATTTTGCACTCGGGCTTCTCTATCACTTTAATGGTCAGGATGCAGCAGCGCTAAAGGTTTGTATTCCTACAATTTAAAAAACATAAATAAATAGAACCTGCACCAGATCAGTAACGCCCTCTCTTGTCTGTTTTTTTTGGGTTTTTTTAGTTGTGGATGCGCATTGTAGATGGCGAACTGCAGGACTCCACTAGATCCGATCTGTACGAGTACATTGTGGACTTTCTCTGCTGCTCTTCCAGTATGGAGATCGTGTGGAAGTATGCAGACTGGGCTTTGCGGAAGGATTCCACTGTAAGTTCCCCAAAAATGTAACTCTGATGTCTGACTTTTGGTGCAGCTTTGACCCAAATATTATCTTCTTCAACATTTGTTTCTGGGAAGATCCAACTTCCCACTTTCCATGGCTACAGTATATTTACTCTCTTCCTCATTCATAATATTTGCTGCTTATTCTCTTCAGCAAACTGCCATGTAATTGAATGTGTTTTTTTAACTGAAAAAACAAAACGAGTTTACTTTTCTGTTGCATATGGCCGTAAAATCTGCAAATAAAGTATTTAGGAACTTCCACAGACCTTGTGGTTCTCTTCAAACAGATGTTTTTGATCATTTTACAGACTTTTCATTTGTTTTTTTTCTTAATAGACAGGTATTCGGATCTTTACTAAGAGGCCTGTCGGCAAAGATCGAGCAGAGGTGAACCCAGATGAAGTCATCACTTACCTGGCGAAACACAGCCAGGCTCTGCTTCTCTACTTGGAGCACCTGGTGTTGGAGAGAAAAATACAGGTTAGATATAGCCGTTCTTTGGGGATGCAGTTGAAAAATGCAAGAAAATATCTTGAGCTTACAAGTCCCACAACCAGGACTTGTAAGCTCTTTGAATCAAATAAATGTGATCTGAATTCACAAATCCTGCGGCAGAAGTGCTACTGCTTGTGAAAATTGGTGGTTGCATTGCTACCTAGCCAGACCCAACCACAGTAACATGTTATTATTTAGATGGATTTGACTGTTTCTGGGGTCGTTTTTCCCTTCTTGTTGTGCAGAAAGAGAAGTTCCACACACACCTCGTTGTGTTGTACCTGGACAGGGTCATGCTGTTGCTGTCAGAGTCGTCGGCTGATGAGGGTCAGCTGACCAGAGCCAGGGAGAAGCTTCAAGCCATGCTCAGGGAGTCCGACTTATACCGTGTACAGTTTGTTTTAGGTAACACAAACCATCCAGTGCAACAGGAATATTTATTTTAGAGTCATTGAGATCAATTTTCAGATTGAAGCTCATTTTTTCAAATTCTGTTTCAACCCGGGTTAGGTAAAATGGAGAGCTGTGACAAGCTGCTGCAAGAGCGTGCAACACTACACGGGAAATTGGAGGAGCACGACCAAGCGCTGCACATCCTGGTCCACAAACTCAGAGACTTCCCGTCCGCCGAGGCGTTCTGCATCTGGGCCTCGTCCAATCGAGATCCAGCATATCGACAGCGGTTGTTCCACCTCCTCCTGGGGGTCTATTTAGACGGCAAAGGTCAAGCAGCTGGCGGCGAGATGGAGATGGCGGCCGTGGATCTGTTAAACAGACACGGCGAGGTGTTCGACGCCGTCCGCGTCCTACGGATGCTTCCGGAGAGCTGGTCGCTGCAGCTACTGAGGCCTTTCTTGAACCGAGCCGTCAGGGCCAGCATGCACGCCGGCCGGACCGCCCAGATCGCTTTGGGACTCGCCCGCTCTGAGAACGTCCAGCTGCTGCATGACAGGGTGAGCAAACCTGCTTTCCTAAACCCCCCACTTATTTATTCATGAATATATATATATATTTTTAACCAAATGTTGGTTAAAATTGATGGACCAGCTAATTAATCTGTGGGCTTTGACTTTGTTGTTTCTTATGTGTCGGTAGGTGTTCACCTTTGTTAAGGCTAGGCCAGTTTCTACAGAAGTGTTTAATGGACTGAGATTGGGAATTAATTCAGGAACATTAAGTGTCTTTTTACAACAAGATTGTTTTTCATTTAAACAACACAGAAAAAAACTTAGAACAAGATGCAAAACTTGCTAAAATTAGAAAGGTTCTCATTTTAACAAAAATCTTTCTCGTTTAGCGAGTTTTGCATCGCATGAGATTTTTTTTTCTTTAAGGGAAAAACATTGCTCATTTTAACAAGATGTGAAAATACTTGAGAAGGTGTAAAGTGGCTCGCCATGACTTCTCTTCCTCTCACCGTGGCATCATAAGATGTTACAGCCTTTCTTATTTAAGAAAATATGTTTTGGTTTTAATGAGATGTCAAAATTACATTTTTAACAGATTATTTTTTAATGGCAAAAACTCTTTTTAATGAGTTTTGCATGTCATTATGACAAAGTTTTCTCATTAAAATGAAATACTGCTCCTGCATTTATTTTCAAGCCCTGGGAATTAAATGCTTCCATATGTTGGTTTTAAATTAACTTAAACCTATTTTTATTTGTAACTAACAATAAAAATCTAAATAAACTGAGGCACATAATCACAAAGTCTGATCAGACAGTATTCTTGCTCCTTCTTATGGATAGTTGACACTTGATTTTGAAAAAAAAAAAAAGAAGAAAGTTTCAGTTTTGATTTGTTAGAACTCGTGTTTCCTTCCTCTACAGTTAAAAGAGCAGAGGAAACCTATCATTGTGTCGGAGAAGAAGGGATGCCACCTGTGCCACAACACCTTCAGTGAGCCCAGCGTGGTCTGTCTGCCCGGAGGAGTACCTGTCCACGTCCACTGCGCCGCACAGAGAGTAAGAGACTCTCCCACAAAGAGACAGTTAGCTAATAGCAGTAACCATACGTGAGACTAAACATTTCCCACTGCTGTCTGATGTGCGACCGGAGGCTGCAGCCTTGTTGGGAGAACAAGAGGCACAGACGGGCATCCAGTTTCAGCTGTGGCGTGAACGCCACAAAGGAAGCCGGCTCAGTGCCACTGTGTTCAGCTGTTCGTTCATGTGCTCCACTTGTGCAGATTTAGGAATTCCAGCTCGGTTTCTTTCTCTATCTGTCCCGTCTTCGCCCAAAAAGGTGAAACCCCGAATTGGATAAACAAATTTGACAACAGATGATTTTCTTTTTCTTATTTTTAGTCCTGTTTCAAATATTTCTGAAGCATGGAATAATACCAAGACTCCTCCGGTTCTTGTCCTGTCAGTTTGTGTTATTCTGTCCTGACGTGGCCTCTGCACGCTAGGTTTAATGTGAAATACTACAAAGGCACTTTCTTTGTGTGTGTCTTTTACTGGAGCTGGTGTCTCTGTTGGTGTCATCAGTGTTTCACATGACGACACTTTGATCCGACCTATTACTATGTTTTGATTATAATCCAAGTAAAAAACTTGGTGACTATGAGGAAAAGACATGTGGAGAAACGTACATCTGAATAGAACTTCAGATGCAAATAAGGAAATTAAAAGAAAATGAATTAAATGTACAATGAATTCAATGTTATACCTCCATTGAAAATATGGGGAAAAGTCTTACTGTCTGGCTTTGACTAATAAAAAATGGTTTCCATTCTGCTTTCAGCCTCTGTTACACTCAAGATGCTTTTACAAATGAAGCGCACTCCAGTTCAAATGAAATCAAATTTCACCTCATTGTCAACAGCAGTGTCTTTGATCTCCAACTCATGACTCTCCCACCTCAAGACGCTGCCTCGCAGAACCATATTGTCATATTAGCAAAAAATAACAAAAGCTTTTCAAAATAAACAGGTTTCATTTACTTTGTAAATGCCTTTTGTTAGTCGAATGAAATGCACAGATGGATTGGGCAGAAAGCGATATAGACAGTGAATAATCATCCGTGCTCTGAAGATTACAGTTTCATGTTGGGGAAAAATAGCTCTCAGGGTCATATTGTTTTCTGTCATTAATCCCGAACAAACATCACACAAGAGAGAAGAAAATGAAAGGCAATCTTGAACAACCTTCAAGTACTTTTAAGTGGGAACATGAATAATTAAGACAATTTTTTCAGCGTTACTAACAGGAGCACAGAACAGGAAAACAAGAAACAATTTCACATGTAATTTCTTCAGGCTGTAAATGTGGAAAAATAATAAAATAAAGATACCTTAAAAGGGACAGCTTGGCTAAACCTTCAGGTTAGATTTTGGAGGCTCTGCGTTATGCAAACATTAAATGTTCCCCTCAAGCCTCACACTAGAAATATGAGGCACGTTTAAATAATTTGCGTAGCTTAAAAGCTCGCTGAAATGTGGCAAATGTTAAATTTTTTTAAAAACCTAAGTTCCAATTAATAATTGGATTCAGTCTAATTAATCATTAATGAAGGCAATTTCTCCGGTTTTTAGTACTATAATTGTTTTGGTGCGATTGTTTAATCTGCGAAAATAAATTTGGTCACACGATGGCAGTATTGTGTAACATTTTAACGAAAGCAACGTGCAGGTCTTCAGAATGGCTACCTCTAACATGAATCTACATTTCAAATAACTAAGTATGTTCTCTTCATTTATTACAGATATTATTTTTGCACTGCAGAGAGTAATAGATGGTTATATTTGACTCAGACTGTTGACGCCCCACTTGACCTAAGAGCATCCGACACTCATAGAGGATGGGTTTCTAATGAAATATTTTCTCTTCCCTTGGAAATTGTGGGTAAAAAAAAAAAGTGTCATCATGAACTGCTTTGATGGTCCAAGAACATACCTGAAAGGTTTAATACGTCTTAGCTTTCAAAGTTGCCTGCTTCAGAAGCCTGGAGTTACGGTTTTAACCTTTGTGCTGTGACACCCCTGTGGAAAATGGAGAGAGATGGAAGTCAGCGGTTTTCTATCAATTTCTTAACAGGCTTGTCATCAGAGCAAAGTACCTCAAGCTTCAAGCTTCTTTCTAAATGATAACAACGAGGTGTGCCTTGAACGTCATAAATAATACTTTTTCAGTCTGGCAAGGTGCATTTATTCAGCTGATCTGTGTGGACTTACTTCATCAGAGCCATATTACTTGTATAACATATTTGTCTTCAGAAAACCTTGTCAGAACGTGCATTAAATGAAAATGACACCAAAAGGCTGATACTATTGAAACCACTGTCCAGTTCTGCGTTTCTAAAGCTTTTGTTGTCCAAAGACTTTAACTGTAGCTTGTTGGAAAGGCCTCTGCACCGTGACTTCAAATCACATAAGAAAATTCTGCAAAGTTGTGTGAAAAGTTGCAATTGTATTTTATAAATATGTGTATAGTGGTGTGTAAATACTGCATTTGTATGTGTTTGTTGCTTTCTAAATCGATGCCACTGTGGATGGAGTGTGAAAAACTGCTAATCCGTCCCATTTTAATAAACATATGTTTCAGCTCCGACTCAAACGTTTGGTTGTACTTGCCTTCATTTCTGGTAGTTGGGCTTGACTGTGCTTTCTTCTGGTAAGTTCTCTTGTTAAACTCTGACCACTAAATCACAAGGTCGTATTACGAGTCTCTTGAAAAGAGACACAGCATCCAAGAGCGTTACCAAAACAGACACAGAAATGCGAGTGAACATATTTCGGAAATGTTTTACGTGAGTTTGAGCTGATCTGCTCTGTCACTACTGTCATGAATCATTCTTTAGAAATCATGGTCTTAAACTAATTGAGAAGAGAGGTTTTGTGCATTAAAATAGCATACATGTAAAGATTTTCACTATCGCTAGAAATATTCAGCTGTGAAAACTGAATCACAAAAACAAAGGCCTTAATTTAATTCAGTGTCCCTGCAAACTCTTTTTTTTTCACACTGAAACTTTTGAATTGATTATCAGAAAACTTAAACTTTTGGTAACAAGATGTCTTTTACCAGAGTATTCTGGGCAAGAAATACATGTTGCAGTTAAAATATCAATAGCTGTAACGTGCACATGTGGAAAATGAAAAAGCAAAGCATATATCTCAGATGAAACCAGCAACAAAGATGTACAAAGTAAATGTTGGGTAATCCTAATAAGTGGTGTCATACATTGATGCCCAGATGTTTGTGTATTTAAAGCATTTAGCAATTGTTAAATGCCCTCAATGAGATGAGCTGCCTAGGATGGATTTCTGCTCGGCTTAATTTTCATGTTTTGGTTCATCCACCCACATGGATACAGATCTGCAGCTTTATGCTTCATGTGCATTCAAATTATGGGGAAACCATGCTTTTCTTTGTGAACTCTGTGCCGTGTTTAAAGTTTTTCCCTCTGTTGTGGTCTTATGTCCTTGATAATAATTGGCAGTGGTTGTATTTTAATCTTCTGCACCTGTTTTATCATTACAAAAAAAACTTTTGACTGATCATTACCAACAAGCATGGGTGGGTTTGAATTGATAAGTTAGGAATAAAGTAGGGCGAGAAAAACATGCCAAGTACCTTGACTTCATAAGCTCTATAAATGAATTTCATTGTTTAGACAGTTCATTCTTTAGTCTTTATCTTGATTTGATTTGTCAGTTCCTAGTAAAACCGTAGCAGTTGAACCGTTGTTGCCTTGGAACTCGCATTTGGGTGAAACTGCTCCCCCTCTCGGCTGCTCACTGTAACTACAGCGCTCTGATCCGCACAGCAACACAAACGCCATCTTTAGCCGACAAAGTGCGGTGCCGAGGCAGAGTTGTGGGATCGAAACTAGGTCAGGCGCCTGGAAAACTCGAAGACCTTCGGAGATCTGTCGTCGGAAGCCTCCTGGGTTGGTGTCCAGAGACCCCCGGCCGCACCGCACTGTCGCATGGTCCAATGTGTTTGATCGCTCGGCCAGCCAGCACGCAGTTTTATTTTGTCGGTCCAGGTTGAGGTTGAAAGTGAGCCTCTGCAAATAAACAACCAACGGTGGAGCTGAAAGCCAGGTGAGATAAACAGACAGAAGCCAAACTTAGAAATTAAATTTGTTTTAAGTCGACTGGTTTTAGTCGCCAGTTACAACTTGCTAATAATTGCCAGCTTGACCCCCAGCGTGGCTAAATGAAGCTAAGCTAACTATTGATCTGTGTTTGTTTTTAACCACAGTCTTTTGACATTTGTGCACATTAGTGCTAACTTAAAGCCACTTTAGCCATCGCTTTGATGCCAATGCCTTTACAACATGTTAGTTTGACATATGTGTTGATCGTTAAAATAGAGGGAGGCGTGACCTATGAGTACAAATGTTTTCATTGTGAGCTAGAAAGACTGGGTCTGCACCATTCACACACCGGCGTGCTTGGCGGCGCCACGAGTGGTGATCAAGGTGAAAGAGCCCATCAGTGTCCAGTGATTTCACTTACGGCCGAATGCAATCATTTTTTCCCCAAAGCATTCGCAGGCCACTAACCGAATATGAACTTACGTGTTAATTATTGGATCGCAAATGAAATGACTGGGTTCTTCCAATGCTCAGGGTGTACATTAAACTCCTTCTTCTCCTCTGCTAGGATGAAACGAGCTCTCCAAGACAATGAGCAGGAGGAAGGAGGAGGGCCCAGCGGGGGGTATCAGAAGAGTATCAAATGGTCAACTGAGCAGGATGGAGAGAAAGAACTGGAAGAACAAGGAGTCAGCTGGGAGTGTTTGCCGCAGGAGATCCTGCTTCACATTTTCCAGTACCTCCCACTGCTGGACAGAGCTTACGCTTCTCTGGTATCCTAAAAGCACTGATTACATGTCAATTGTACTCTTAATGGGACTGTGTGAAATGACGATGGAGGGCTTCTCATTTCAATTATTTATTATTAGCATTATCGCAAAATTATTCACTCCCATAAACCTTGTCCTGTTTTGGCGAGTTCTATATAATTATTCACGTCTGTGCTTTGGTCTTTCACATGAGATTCCAGTAAGATGCTTTGGATAGCACATCACAGAGGGGTGTAAATACTTCTGCAATGCACTTTACATTCGAGGGATGGTGCCGAGTCGAACAGAACAGACGGTTTTATCAGGGAATTAAAGCCAACATGCAGTTTCAGACCATTCACACCACCTCCACTTCTAGCTGATTTCTGAAAGTTAGAAGATTAATTGCCACTAATTAATCATTAGCAACCTGCTTGTTAGTCTGGATTTGATTAATTTTTAAGATGGAGACATGTGATCACACCTTTATTTACTGGCTATACAGTACAGCAGAGCCAGTTTTGATGGTTAAGCATGTTTCATCATTTATGGCTTGGCAAACATTCTTTATTACCTTACCTTAAGGTGGCTTAAGGTCACAGACTCAATTTAGCCACTCTTGTAGCGTAGCTGGTGTTGGCTACACACATATCCTTCTTCCAACAAGTTTGACAGTCTTTTGGTGTAAAGGTTGATGTTTCTCTCCCTCACAGTCTCAGTCTGTTATTTTACTGTGTATGTATTTTTTTTTTTAAATCACTCCATTTCTTATATGAAGTTTGTTGGGTAATTTCTCTAGGTGTGCCGGTGCTGGAATCAGGCCTTCCACATGCCAGAGCTGTGGCGCTGCTTTGAGTTTGAGCTGAACCAGCCGGCCAGCTCCTACCTGAAGGCCACACACCCGGAGCTCATCAAGCAGATCATCAAAAAGCACTCCAACCACC